GCTGAAAATAGCCCCACACTAACACGGTAGCATAATGAGGGTCCCTACCTTCAAACCGAAGCATTGAGAACTTTGTCAGTGTCCAGACAGTTTAATAAGAAGATATTTTAAACATACAGTCAACTTCGCGTATACAGGCAGAATCCATCTTTGAAATACAGCCTTTACCAGTCGATCTACGAACGCCGATCCAAGTGCGCTGGTGAGAATGTGAACGAGCTATAAGTTGTGATAAGCTTCCTGCACAGTGAGACTTGTATGTAGACTTGCATGACTTGACGCTCTGAAATTTGAAATCGGTGGGAAGATGGAGAAGCAGTTGCCTACGGTTGCCTAACATAAAGGTCTCGACTGTCTAGCGTTATATTTTGCCAAAGAACTCATGAAACTGTGATATGGCTTTGTGCCTTTATAAAACAGCAAAAGACTTTAATTAAGTAGCCTATTGGCATTCTGTTTGTGCTGCATGATTTAAAGAAGAGTGCGCACTTTGCTCATGCGATCAGCATGGTGATCTGGTGTTTTCTCCAAAATGAAAGCTCAAGGGTTTATTTCTGGCAATTGAAGAAATTAGGACAAAAGTATTGTAATTTTCCTATACTGTGTAATTTAATGCAAAATACTTTTAGGCTACATTTATAGGCTAGGTCTATATGGATTTTACATCATAGGAATGATTATATAAATCATTATTATAATAATTGTTTGGCATCCTAAAACACCAGTGATAATGTAATGTAGACTGAGACTCTATATATCATAACTAAAAAGATGTTTGAGCCCTCTTTAAGGGGGGGGGGGGGGGGGGGGGCTACAAGACATTGTGCCCAGGGCCCTCTGAATTCTTAATCCGGCCCTGTGTTCGGCCGAGCTTTCGATGTTGTTACGGAAAGGCCGAAGCTGATCGGTTTTTTTTTTTTTGTGACATGACCTGCGGTGCGCTTGCGGCATTCTGAAAAGTTGAGATGTTATCATCTCGCCGCGGCATAGACGCGCCTGGAAAAACCACTGTCTATGGGAAAAACAAGCGCGCCGCACCGCATCCCCGTCGCTTCCATACATTTGAAATAACGAACTTGAGCGCGCAAAAGACGTGATATGTGAACGGCCGCTTAGCTTTCGGATGCAGCAAAGGTCTTCAGGATCAGGCCAGCTGACAATCTTGCCTGGGCCCGGGACAAGATAATCTTAGATGGGGCCCCCCCCACGATTTATTTTTATTTTTATAAAACACCATATACTTTTACCCAAAATGAATAATAAAAACACGTTTAAATGGGTACATTTTCTATAAATGTCTTCATTTTCTTTTCTGACATAGCCTACTGCAGTTCTTGTTAAAACACACTAGACATGCATAATCTGTGCATTTTGGGCACTTTTTGTGTGAAATCATATTTATTTTTTGTCCATCAAAAGTGTGCTTTCACTTTTAAGCATGAGCAGCGCAGCAAAAATAGACTCGGATCTGACCCATTATCTGTTCACCGATGATGACAGTGATGCATTTCAGCCGGCTTTTTATTTCTCATCTCCATAAATAGTAGTAAAGCTAATCCAAGGGCTAGAAATCAATGAATTCTTTGCTAATACTTCCTCGTCATCATGGAGAGCGCAGTTCGCACCGCTTTCTCCTTTCCACAAGCGTTTGCTCTCCCATGGCGTCTGTCGTTGCTATGCAACAATGAACTTAGGCGCGCCTGTAAAAACGAGCGCGCCGCGTCGCTATTATGAGCTAATATCCAACATATTTCCATATGTGGCTCTTTCCTCCTTTCTTATCAACAAGTGGATTTACAGCCACCACAGCAGCAGCACCGCCGGTCGCCATGTCTCAGCGCTTTTATGAAGAGGACGCAACTGCACGCGCTTTGGGCATGCACGCGCATCCCGGGTTTGAGAAAACCTGGTACCGTGGCGTGACGTTTAAAAAGAAATTTGTACCGACTTGGTACCGAAGTGCCGGGTCTTTGACAACACTCATAAACGTTGGCTGCGCTGTTTCTTACCTTGCTCTACGCTGACTTTACTAACGTTAGTTCCAGTTAGTTCCAGCTTCACCGTCACCACCTTTTTAAAAATATTTGTTTAGGACATCTCGAAGGCCTCTATTTTCTTCTTCTCTTTTCTTTTCTTTTCTGAGCACCGGACTTGTGCTGACCGGACATTTTGAGCGTAACGTTAGCCTACTGATCTTCAAATCAAATGACAACATCATATTTCGATCAGTGGCCAAACCATTTTTGTTTGGGGGGGGGGGGGTTCTTGACCACTATTTCAAGGACAATTAGGAAGAAAACGAATAAAAAGCTTTTATGTAACTCAAATATTAGATATTTTTTTCAACAAATATGCCTATTTTTTTTTATTTTTTTTAACAATTATTCCATAATTTAATGAGGGCCCAGTTCTGGGCCCCCCTCCCTACCCTGGGCCCGGGACAACAGACCCGTTTGTCCCCCCCCTGTCGGCGGGCCTGTTCAGGATTACTAGTAAGCTACAGGCATGGGAGTTTGATCAGGGTTGGAGCTAAACTCGTCAGGAAAGTGGATCTCAAGGGCCAGAGAGAGTTGCCCAGCTCTGGCAGGCGGCTGGCACTGAGTCTATTCCATGCCATTTTGTAGTATAGTGTGAGTAGTGTTCATACTGAAAATTTCCAAAAAAGAATAAGCTTAAAAAAACTGAACTATGCATTAATTAACCGGAAAAAAAAGAGAGAATCGTGTAATGTTGTTGTCGCCTTCTTTACGTTTATGAAGGGGGAGAGGCCATCAGACTCTGATGTTAGATGACAAAAATAATCTTATAAAATGCATACACTACACGGTTGAGTAGTACACAGTGCATGTCCTTTAGGACAAAACTAGTGTTTTTTAATTAATTAAAAAGCAAACTATCACACCATGCGAAAAGGACACGTCACAGTGACGTCACCCGGAACTCGCATCTGATGCCCAAAGAGAGTTGTTTGTGCCAGCCACATCCGTACGGTACCACACACCTCTTTCATGTAGAGAAAATACATTGATTCAGCAATCTCCAGAAATCCTTGAGCCTTTTCAATCTCATCTCTTCCCGCCCACAAAATGCCGAGCTGATTCTGTCAGAAAACACAATACGCATCAGAATAACTTACACCATGGCGCAGAAGTCAAAGAGTAAGCTATAACGTTACTGCACATTTAGTCAATTATATGAAACTTTTAGAAGGAAATACGCAGTGTATATTTACCCGGGCCTGTACAAACAGCGAGACGTTCTCTCGTGTTGTTGTGCACTTGTCAATGAGTTTCATGCAGGTCATCAGATGCTCCTCTCCAGCTGAGAGCTCCTCGGTCTCTATGTGGTTTACGCCGAGATAGTACTGCACCACCGCGAGCCTCGCTACTCGCAGACCGGCTAGAGAGTCTCCAGCATACGCTTTCCCAAAATCATTCCCCGGTTCTCCATCCACCGTCTGACTGGACTCACTATCCGCTCCATTGTCAACCTCGCCCTCCTCCTCGATTTGATTTTTTTTCAAAGAACAATGGATTTCCTTCAACAGATCTCTAGCTTTGTATTTCGATCGGAAAGGGTTATTCTCAGGGTCTTTTTTCGACTCTATTTCGGACAGTTCATGGGCCAGGCGAAATTTCTCGCACACCGCCCTCCACTCAGCGCTCTGGTTGTCAGCCATGTTTTCCCCGAGCTATGACAAATGTTCACCAGCAGAGGTCAGTGATGAAGCTGATACACTGGTTCTAGTAGTCGTGTCACCATGAAATCACGAGTGAACAATTCTTTTTTTTTTTTTAAAGGGTTAGTTCACTCAAAAATGAAAATTATTCCATAATTTACTCACACTCAAACCATCCTAGGTATATATGACTTTCTTCTTTCAGCCAAACACAATCAGAATTATATTAAAAAAACATCCTGGCTCTTTTAAGCTTTGTAATGGGAGTGGATGGTACCATAGATTTTGAAGCCCCCAAAAAAGTGCATCCATCCATCATAAAATTAATCTATACGGCTCCAGGGGGTTAATATAGTCCTTCTGAAGTGAAGCATGCGTTTTTGTAAGAAAAATATCAATATTTATAAATGTATACACTATAATCGCTGGATTCCGGACGGTAACGGCCTACGCAAGTCGAGTTTCGGTGGAAGAGTGAACTCTGACCCGATGTAGGAATAGTGTAGGTTTAGGTGAGAGTAGACCAGACGCCTCTCACGGTTCAAACAAATAGGGCTGGGCAAAAAACTCAAGCTCCTCTTCTTTTATATCAAAATCCTTCAACATTTCTCTTTAAAAATTCTCGTCTTAGACTTCCATTTCGTGACTGGTGTTTTGTTTTGCTCTATCCTCTGCGCTTCCGCATACGTCAATATGGCATGTGATTTGATTTCATGGTGACTAACTATTTATATTTTTGATTCGTTTTTTAAAATTTCATATTTCGACAAAAAAACTATTCGATTTTTCCATTGGCTTTTGCATTATTGGAGAAAATAAGGTACTGTATGTGACAAACAAAAGCAGGATTCATTGTGATAATCTTTACAAATGAACACAACTTTTATGAATTTTGAAGCTTCAATACAGTCGGCAGAAGTTAAAAGCTAAACGTAGGCTATAAATGAACTACACCACGGTTGCATGACTTCAACGTCAACGTCACCATCACTCAGCTTCCGACAACTCTTTCAGTCTTTCCCCTGAAAATTATAGTAATAATAGTTTGCAAAAGTGTGATGACGTTTAATGTCTCTGACAACCTCGGTAGTCCCATTTAGCCAAAGGTTTAAAAAAAATCACAAGAGGGTATTACTGATGTATTTTATAGAACCGGAAGTGCTAACTCATTTCTATTGTTTTGTCCTCTCTATTTTATTGTTATCATTTATTTATTCATTTAGCAGACGCTTTTCATCAACTTTCATCATCAACTCTTGATGTGCACGCCTTGGTTCAGTCACTGTCGCTCTCTCTCTTTCAGACACTCTGGCACTAAGTATCTACAGGTCAGTGTATGTCACAGACAAGCAGGCCTCTTGTACTTCCTGTGAGTTGGTGGAAATGACAGGTAAATTATTTATACATGGGGCCTGTCCCAATACCCATACTTGTGGTCTTTGTACCCGACCACTTGCCTATTTATTTACATGAAACGTTTTCTGTATTTAGCCCAAGTGAAGTGTTCAATTAGGCATGAAAAATGCGAGTGTGTGTAGAACTTCTGATTAACCAATGGTACACTGTGCAAGCTTTATTTACACATTTTGATTTTCAATACTTTGCACTCTAAAATAATCTAATACATATCTTAGTAGTCCCCATGTAACAGACGGCACAATTTAATTGTGGTGCTTCTAATTATGTGATAAAAAGTAGTAGCAAACATTTTACAAAATCCACTTAGTCATCTTCGGAAGCAGTATTAGAGAGAGTGTGGATTTAGTGTGCGTCAAGGGCACTGAGCTTTGGCACTTATTTGATACAGTATTGTGTGTGTGTATTGGGGCAGGCTTTAAGGTTTGCATCACATCGACATTGGAAAAACACTGAAAGTGTAAGCTGTTATACAATACTACATTAACACAGTGTGATATCCCTGCTGGCAGGTTTAATGCAAGACACCAAGTGAATAGGGTAATAAAAAAAAAAAAAGGTATCACAATAAGTAAAAAATCACAGTACATTAGGACAATTGTCCTGTAATACTAGTTGTCTGAAAAGTTATGTTTAAAGATGCAAATGAGGCATTTACATATGCACTAATTTGCATACATTTCCAGAACAGAAATCTGAACATTGGATAAAGCCAGGTTCAAAATCGATTTCATTTTGTTGACATTTTAGAGTTAAATTTTTTTCTATAAAGGGGATTGGATATCTCTATAAATCACTATAAATCAGATAATACTGTCAAATGCCAGAAAAAATTCATCATGTTTATAGGCATAAAATATTTTATAAATCAGGTGACAAACCCCTCTAATATAGAATATAGATAGAAATAATTCTGGAAAGTTTGGTGTATGTAAGAGTTACTGAAGTGGAGATGTTTGGCTTACATGCAGAAAAAAAAACTCATTCTGAGAAAACAGCCTTTAAAGATATGTTTTGTAATTGAAATCTACAAATGAAAATGGATAAAGCGTAATAACATAAATGCTTAAATGTTTTTTTTTTTTTTGGACTGTCAAAATTTACCAGATAGTTGACGGCACCAATTGACTTCCATAGTAAGAAAAAAAATACTATAGAAGTCAATGGTTGCCGTAAACTTTTTGGTTACCATCATTCTTTAAAGTCCCCCTGTGGTGAAAATCAAGCTTTTAATGTTGTTTATATGTGGTGTTTTTAATATGCTTTAAGACAAACTAAGTACAAATGCATGTCAACACTATTGCTGAGTATTTTCTCCATAAAACGAATCGGTTACCTAACGTAACCTCGGTTCTCTCTAGATGAGGGAACGAGTATTGCGTAAGCTAGCTTACGCTACGGGAAAGATTCATCTTTTCTGAGAAATTGAAGCCAAAAAATTATCCTATAATTTTGTATCCATTGTCAACGCAGTTCAGCTGCAGCAGACCATGAGCGGGCTAGCTAGCAGCTCATTGGTTCGCTCACAGAGAACTGCTTAAGCCTATGAGGAGATGCGAATGAACTCTCGGCCAATGAGAGTCTGACATGCTCTCATTGCGTCAGAGCCCGCCGAAACGGGCGTGGTCAGAGAGTATAAATTCGCCTCTCAGGCTGTAAACACTGGTTTTCATAGAATGAAGCGAGAACGCTAGTAGCACAAGCACGGCCAGGAACGCAATACTCGTTCCCTCATCTAGAGAGAACCGAGGTTACGTTAGGTAACCGATTCGTTCTCTTACGAGAGGTTCTCTCGTATTGCGTAAGCTAGCTTACGCTACGGGAACACCTGGTCAACGCCGTGCGTGCTAAGCATCCACTATGAGTCCCAGGGGAGACCCCGGGGAACCCTTATGAGTGGGAATAAATATATGTACCTGTGACAAAGGCCAGCAGAACGGGTCGGAGATTGTGTAGTACATAAGCACATGATAGAGAGGGACAGAGCGAAACCGGTCTGAGTGAATAATTCCCTATAGTGCAGCTCAACCAGAAGAGCTGTAACCTACTAGACTGCTAGTAGTTTAGCCTGCAAGGCGGGAACTTCCAGATTGTAAAATCTGACAAAGGTGGAGGGGGAAGCCCATCCCGCTGCCACACAAATGTCATGAATGGAAATTCCGCTGGACCATGCCCACGATGAGGCCATGCCTCTAGTGGAATGAGCCCTGATGCCCAGAGGGCATGGCAGGTCTTTTGATGCGTATGCGGCTGCAATGGCATCAACTATCCATCTAGAAAGAGTCTGTTTCGAGGCGGCCAACCCCTTGGTGCGCCCACCGAATGAAACAAAAAGCTGCTCAGATCGTCTGACCGGAGCAGTGCGAGTAATGAGCGTTTTGAGCGAAAGGTATTTGAGGTCCAAGGTGTTTAGCGGTTCGAATGGGGGAGCTTTCATAGCTTCGAGAACTATGGAAAGGTCCCAAATCGGCACCGAAGGGGGGCGCGGGGGGTTCATCCTTCTAGCTCCCCTGAGGAAGCGGATGACCAAGCCCTCTTTGCCCAGTGACTGGCCGCGCCGGGGTTCAACGAACACTGTGACGGCTGCCACATACACCTTGAGAGTGGACGGGGACCTGCCCTTGTCCAACATCTCTTGGAGAAAAACTAGCAAGGAAGGGACCTCGCATGACCGTGGGTCCAAATTTCTGTCGGTGCACTATTTAGAGAACACAGACCATTTAGACGCATAGAGCCTTCTAGTAGAAGCCGCCCTAGCCTGCGTGATCGTGTTTAACACTCCCTCTGGCAAAGCGACGGGTAGTCGTTGATCACCCACGCATGTAGCGCCCAGCGCTCTGGGTGGGGATGCCAGATCGTGCCGCGAGCTTGGGAGAGGAGATCTGCTCTGACTGGAATGGGCCACGGGGCTGTCTGTGACAGCTGAGTGAGCTCCGGAAACCAAGTCTGACCCTCCCAACGCGGGGCTATGAGGAGCACCGAGTGGCGTGTTTCCCTGATTCTCTGAAGCACCTGTGGTAGCAGAGAAACCGGAGGGAATGCATTAAGCGGGCGGCTGGGCCAGGTCTGGGCTAGCGCGTCCTCGCTCTTTGAGACATTGGGCAGTGGGTGTTCTCTTCTGAGGCGAAGAGGTCCACCTCTGCTCTGCCGAATATTAGCCACAGCTTTTGGACTGTAAGAGTGTGCAGGGACCATTCCCCGGGGGGAATGGGGTTCCTGGACAGACTGTCTGGACCGTCGTTCAGATGACCCGGCACGTGCGTCGCTCTGAGCGAGAGCAGGTGACACTGAGACCAAGCTAAGATGCGTTCTGTCAGCTGGAAGAGATTCCTGGATCTGACTCCGCCCTGACGGTTTAGATAGGAGACCACGGCTATATTGTCCGAACGGATCACCACGTGGTGACCGTGAATGCGCGGAAGAAAGCGCGTAAGCGCGTAAGCGACCGCCAGCATCTCCAAACAGTTTATGTGGAGGAGACTCTCCTGAGCTGACCAGGGGCCGAAGGCCGGTGAGCCCTCGCAGACCGCACCCCAACCCGTGTTGGATGCGTCTGTCGAGATGACTTTTCGGCGAGAAAAGGTCCCCATGGAAACGCCCCGCTGAAACCATTCTGCCACGGTCCATGGCTGCAGAGCTGTGATACAGGTCTGCGTTACCTTTATCAGCTGGCGGCCCGTGGTCCACGCGCGGTGAGACACACGGCTCTTCAACCAGAGCTGAAGCGGGCGCATGCGCAGTAACCCCAGCTGGAGCACCGCGGAGGCTGAGGCCATGTAACCCAACGCCTTCTGAAAAGTTTTCAGAGGTGTGAGTCTGTTCATCTGAAAAGATGTGGCGAGACGCTGAACACGGCGCGCGCGAGTCATCGTGACCGAGTCTAGCTCTATACCCAAGAAGGAGATAGTCTGACTGGGTTGTAGTGCGCTCTTTGTCCAGTTGACAGAGAGACCCAAAGCTTTCAGATGGTCGAGGTGAACTGTACGATGAGACAGTAGCTCTCTCTGTGATTGTGCCAAAATCAGTCAGTCGTCCAAATAGTTCAGTATTCGCAGCCCCTGACTCCGCAGGGGGGCGAGCGCCGCATCCATGCACTTCGTGAACGTGCGGGGTGCTAGGGATAAGCGGAACGGGAGGACGGTGTATTGATAAACCTGGCCTTCGAAGGCGAAACGTAAGAATGGCCTGTGAAGGGGATTTATCTGAATCTGAAAGTAAGCATCTTTCAGATCTAGTGAAATGAACCAGTCCCCCTGGCGCACGTGCGCGAGGAGTTTTCTGATAGTGAGCATTTTGAACGGTCTCTTCATGAGAACTTTGTTCAGAAATCTGAGGTCTAAGATTGGTCTGAGGCCGCCGTCTTTCTTTGGAACCAGAAAATAATGGCCGTAAAACCCTGACTCGCTCATAGATGGAGGAACTCTCTCTATAGCCCTTTTGCACAATAGTTTTGCTATCTCTGAACGGAGCAGAGTCACTGCTTCTGGGTTCACAATAGTTTCTAGCCGCGCTCGGAAACGTGGAGGGCGGCGGTGAAACTGTAAGCGATAGCCTAGCCTTATTGTGTTTAGCACCCACTGGGAAATTCCCGGAATAGCTTCCCACGCTTTGAAGCGTAACGCTAAGGGGTGAATGGCTACATGGTCCCCGTTGCTGCACATAGCGGGCTGCGCGGGCGCGCTCATAGTGTTTTACACTCAGGGACTTACACTCAGAGAGGAGTTTAAGGGCCGTGTAACAGAGTGAGCAGAGGTGGGACGCGCACACGGGCTCGTGGGCGAGATGGTCCTCACTGCAGAACATGAAATCCACGGGGAGGAGTCGGATCCAGATCCAACTCCTCCCACCTTACATATACCTAAACCTACCCATCTCCGCCCCCTGATCCCTAAACACACCCCTAATCCCTAAACCCACCCCTAATCCTACCCATCTCCACCCCTCGGATCTTGATCCGACTCCTCCCTGTGGATC